GGTTGTGTTTCCTTGGTTCTGGTTTCAGGACTAAAGTGATTCTTTCACTGGCTTGGGTTTCAGGGCCAGGGTTGGTTTCTACAAGTGAGCTTCTCCAGAGGTCTCTACACAACAAGTCTTGTTCCTGGAACTCCTCTCTACTGATCAGAAAGAAAAACAACCTCATAATGTTTGTGGGAAATTCTGACTGTTTCAGGTTATCCCTATGAGGAGAAGCAAGAGGTCTCAGAGCAGGCACACACACACAGACATGAGTGACCCTGGGAGCTTTCCAACAACAATCTAATAGCAATTGCTTGGGAAAACAGTGCTGTCATCCCATGGCATTTGATTTCTCTGGTTTCAAGGATTGTGAACTGAACCTGTTTTCTAAGCTCCCTTTATTCATGAAGGCAGCTTCTCTCTCCCTGGAATGATGTCTACCCAAGACTGTCACAGCATTCAGAAGGTTGATAAGTAGTGCCAATGATGGTCTTGGTGACATGCAGATTCCTGAGCTTTGGCCTAGACACTTTGGCCAGGCCAATAATATAATAAGCCTTCTCTGCACACTGTTCACTTTATCAGTAAGACTCCAGTGAGCCAGGGCCACATGAATCTCCTCTAGGAAGTATCCAAGATGCTTATGACTGCATGTAAGCTTGGAGAGCATCCCTGACTTATACCTAATGCTTTCATGTCCAAAGGCCCAGCAATTGTCTCCAAGGCCTTGGCTCTGTTGTGTGTCTAGGGAGGGTTCTGACTGCTGCAGGATCTCCAGGCTGGTCTATCAAATAAGAGGCTTCAGCTCCCCAAATGCTACATGTTCTGGGAGACAGAACCAGACAGCACACAGGGTCAAGTCAGGCCATGTTTCCACATATTGCTCTGTCAGCTCTCTCTCCACTGTGAAGACAGGCTGTTCTTCATTTTTATTTATTTTATTGTCTTAGGGATTGCCTTAGGGAGGGTCTCTTGTAGCCCAAGCTTGCCCAAGACTCCTGATTGTTCTGTTACTACTTGTCTGGTGCTGAGATCAGTGGCATGTCACCACACCACCATGCCTGGTAGCTCATCTTTATTGGATGTTCCCTTCAGTGTTACCCTTTGTGCCTGCTGACACTTAGAACCTCCATAATTGTCAGCTGAATGAAAATATTAAGAGAAGAAAAAGAGATTGTTAACAGCTAACAATAAAATAAATAGAATGCAATAGTGCTAAATGGTAGTGGAATGTGACAGAGACAGTAGGGAAGAAAGGGGGAAAGACATTGTCTCCCCTCTACTGTCACAACATTGTCAATGTTTCCTCACTGAGGGTCTCTATCCATTTAGAAAACATCAGAGATGTGTGTGTGTGTGTGTGTGTGTGTGTGTGTGTGTGTGTGTGTGTGTGTGTATGTGCGCGCGCGTGTGCGCGTGTGCTTATTGACATGCACAGATCCAAGTCTTCGTCTTTCCTGTATGTGAAACAAACCTTCCAGAACATCCAAAGCCTTTGTGGTCTGCCCCAGCAACATTCTGGCAGCCTCGTGTTCTTTCTTCCAACATTTGTTTAGAAATCTCGACAGAAACATGGTTTTTCTTCATTATTTCCCCATAAATGTCTGTGTCACTTGACAAGACTAGGTTGAGAGTTGCCAGGTATGGAATTCTGTTCTCAAAACTTTAATACATTTATTCATCTGTATATTTATATGTGTGTTTGCACACATGTGCCAGAACATGGTTATCGGTCAATGGACAAGTTGCAGCCATTAGTTCTCTGCTCTCACCATGTTCATCCCAGGGTCATACTCAGGAGTTCTGTGAATTCCCTTTCTCTGGTTGGTGTATAGACTGCTCACAGCTAAGAGGAATGTGGATGACAACAGAAGGCAATGATAGTGACCTGGACCAAATTTGAATCATTCAGAACATGTCATCCTCATTAGAGGAGTCTGTTAGCATCAGTGAGGCACGGGCAAGCCATAGACACTGTCTTGACATTCACAACAATGTATGGGCTCTTGGAGAGAATAAGAAAGAGACATTAAATGTTAGTGAGGCATCTCTTGAAGATGTGTTGAGGCATTTGGGGAGTAACAAAGGTTAGCAAATCTACAAATTCAAGATGACCACATTCTCTTAATCTGTTTTTCTCATAATGATTTGATATATATTTCTATGGTTCCTTGTTGCCAAACTAAAATAAGAAAAAGTCCAAAATCACTCGAATGAACATATAGTAATATATTGATATGAGTGCATCAGATGGAGATATTCTAGCATATATGAGAAATGGGAAGACAGTCGTCTTAGTTTCAGTGGGTCAAGACCTGGCACCCCCCAACTACATGCAACTCAGAGAACAATTTCTGGTAGATTTTTTTTATTCTTTCTATTAATAAGGTGGGTCCCAGGGATAGAAATGCATGTCTCCAGGCTTGTCTGCATTACCTTTAACTGCTTAGACATTTTCCAGTCCATCATCAAAGCCACAGATTTTAATAAGCTACTTATCTCTGTATATGATCTCTGTGTATATCTATCCTACTTTGGAAATATTTATCCTCAAAATGAATGTTTGTCACAGTTAACGAAGGGCAAAAATCGGAATTGGTAGAATTTTAAAGCTTCTACGATAACTAAGAGTTTGATGTATTTCACTTCATAGGATGTAACAGGGTGAATTTTCCATCCCCGTCATAAATAATGTACTAATTTTGAACCTAACATATTGCACATGCTAGGGAAGTATTCTGTCTCCAAGTTGTATTCCTGGCTTGTAACTCCATTCATCTGCTACAGCTACTACAGGGCAGACATCAAGATGAGCTTTAACTGTTAATTTAGCCCTCATAAGAATGACCATGTGAGTAGCTGACAGAATGCTTTGAAGACTAGGCATGTTTATCTGAGATAGAAGAAGCACCCCAGTCCACATAACACACTCTACACAGTTTAGTATGAGAAAGTAAACTGTAATCTCCCTCCACAAACACAAGGAGAAGAAACCGTGTTAATCTATCTGTAGCATTTATTAAAAGAAACAAAGCTATACTGAGGATTCACATGGAAGTAAGGCATGACTGAACACAGGCTCCTTCCCAATAATGGAAAGATGGACAGGGAGACACATGCTGCAGTTCAGTGACTGATAATGCAGGATGAATGAAGTCTCAGCTGGTCCCAGTGTGTCTGCAGGTATTATGTCAGAGTCAGTGAAGAATGAGAAAGTGACCGATGAAAGGGAGGAACTGAAGTGAACCACCTGCTTCTCTGGCTTTAGAGATCTTAAAAGCTATGGTTTGAGAGAAACAGACTTGAATTTACAAGGATAATTGCTTCACATATTAACTCTCTAACTTACTGTGAGTCTCAGCTCAGATCCATTCCAGGAGAACTTCAGAAGAATAAAGCCCACATCTGAAAGAAACCTTTCCTCAATACACTGTGACTTCTGCTGTGGTGAAAGTGTAGCATCAACCATCCCTCTCCCTTTCAAGCCTTGCAGAGATACACTCTCTGCCAGAGGCATGTGGCTTTTGCTGCAGATACCATCCACCCAGACAAATGTGAAGTTTCCACTTAACACTGCTTAGCTGGTGCATCACAGGTATATCTTACCCCATCTCCATCCCCAGGCGGGTCTTAAAAGTCTGCATTTCATCTGATGGGCCTACTCTGCATTGTCATCTAAATGAGAGGTGACATATTCTGCTCCAACTCAGACTTAAGAGATGCTGAGCGATGATCCTGAACCCGGGAGCACTCTGCTTGAATGCCTGGCATCCCAAGTAATCTCCTATGCCTACCGCATGGTCCTGTCCCTACAGTTCTCCAGAAATATCTCTCTTCGGTTAGGTGTAATCCAGTCCAAGTAATGCACTAGAGAGGCTAGAAGGACAAAATTCAAGTGCAGGGACTGGAGAGATCACTCATTCTTTAAGAGGATGTGTAGCTCTCCCAGAGGACCCAGAAATCAGCTAATAATCTTCTGTGACTCCAGTTCCATGTGGAATCCATTGCCCTTTCTGGCTTCAGTGCAAACTGATTGCTTGTGGTGCATAGAAAACAGGCACAATACCCATATACATAAATACAAGTAAATGAATCTCAAAGATTTCCATGCAAAATGAATAGTCAAGGCAACAGCACATTCAAAAGACCACATCTCAATATGTCTAGAAGGTTACTACCCCTGCATTGCCACTGTCATTGGTGCTGTATTTCAGGAAAGGAAAGGGAGATATCTATAGGTTTCCTCATTTCTTCTACACTCCTGTAACAAATGTTCTCACTTCCTGAGATGCATTAGAAAACATAGGTGTATTTCTGAAAAATTTGATATGAATGATCACGTCATGAACATGTGTTTATCTATTCTCCGTTTTTTGAAGTAGCTAGACATGTGAAGTCAGGTGTTTTATATGGATCTTTTTTCCACCATGAAGTGGATATTCATGGAGTAGTCCATGCGATTCACACCCAAGATACCATCTTGGTTTGTAACCCTGTCTAGCCGAGAACTCACAGTGTAGCCTAAGCCTCCTGGGACTTTGAGAGATCCACCTCTGTCTGTTGAGTTCTAATGTTACAGGAGTGTGACACCACACCTGACTACAAAGCTACATTCAGAATGAAGAGAATGTGCCAGGTTTATCTGTCCCCTATGGGAGAACTTACCCTGTTGGAGGAGGGCAGGAGGGATGGAGGGGAAGATGAGAGGGAGAGGGAGGAGCAATGAGAGGTGGATCTTTGGTTGGTAAGTAAATTCAATAAAAAATTTAAAGAAAAGAATGAAGAGTTGGAAAATATTTTTTATTTGTGAAATTAGAGCAATTTAACTGAATAGGGCCTTAAAGGGGTGCTTAGTATATCCAGTGTATAGCTTTAGCAAAATATAAAATCAAAGAAAGAACAAAGAACCAAAAAAATAAAAAAACAGCAAACAAAACAAAGAACAACAAAACCTAAATTCATGCAAACCCCAAAACAAACCAAAACTATTTACATAAGAAGCTTTCTCTTCATGCAGATGTCCTACATTCTGTGGCTGGCTTTGGAAACAAGTTGGAAGACAACCCTGAATTGAAATAACCTCTTCAAGACATGTGTGTTCATGCCACTTTGGGGCTTCTAGGTTAAGTCCTTGCCAAAGTTGATCTTATGCCATGTTGGCCACTATATGATTCTGTCTGCCAACATGTGTCTGTGTGCCCATTCAAGAGCAAAAAATGACACGGGGAGCATCTGTTACCAAAAGACATAACAGCTCATGGTGACATCCTTCCTAAATCATCTCTCAGAACAATTCACTTCACCATCACCTGGGAATGAAATTGAGTAGTTCCCACACTGGACTGGAGTAATTATGATGCTTCCTTGTTGTGGTCTGTGTGGATAGCAGCATGACATCAACACAGTCTCTGTTGACATATCTTCCTCCACATATGAAGGGCTCAACACTCAGTCAGCTACCAAAAGTTTGTAGCAATAAACTTTCAGAGTAACTATGAGTGGAAACATATTCTCTCTCCATGTTGTTGTGGCCCTCACTGGGGACACTTGCTGGTAGATGTCAGCTTTTTCTGCATAACTCTTGGTGTTTATTTTTTTGAATCTCAAGCATCTTCTTGATGGTTTCTTTATTCCATAACTAGTGAGTCAACAGACTCATGGATCAGATTATGGATGGATGACCTTCAGGGCAGATGATATTTGCCTCACTGGTGATTTCACAACTAGTAGTAGTACATGTCTTGTTCTGAGGAGGCCTTGATCATAGAGTGGAGAATGTCAGGGTTTCTAGTTGACTATGGATTCCTTCAGCCTCCTCAGTTCTCATAAAGGGTGCTGTGAGAGAAGAAAAGTCAATCAGATCTGCCTTGCTTGATCACTAGCTAGATAAATTCAGGGCCTATTCACACATAGGAAACCAGAATCAAGGAAGAACTCCACCCCACAAATGCCGTGTTGCTGGGGATGGGATGTCATGATGGCTCACTTGCTTATGACACTTAGTGCTCCTGCTGCAGCAGCTCTGTCGGCAGGAGGCTCTCATCCTGAGCTGTGGATTGTTCCAGCTCATGTTGGAGATTTTCTGACCTAGAGGAGGAAGTTAGTAAGGGCAGAGTCCTGGTGGGGATCCACCATGTCACCCGTCATTCAGTGATATTACAAAAACTCAATTGTGCTGGACAGTCAACACTGATCTTTGGCAGCAGTCATTGTATGTACACCTAAGGAATAAGTGTCACAGAATAGTTGGGCCTTGAATTATTTTCTGCCCTTAACAAGTATCAGATGTTGATATGAGTACTATATGTACTGTGCTCTAATGAGAAAGAACCAGATTTTTTCCTACAGTATAGAGACATCATTTAAATAAAAGGAGTAGCATACTAAAGTCATATATAATAGCACTGTGGAGATACACAGACTGTTCATGATAGTTTCTCATCAACTACCTCATTTTTTCTTGTCTAATTTCTGTTTCTTTGTAGGCAGTGTTACAATATGCATCTCTGGCTGACTAGATACATGTTCTAGGATGGCTACAAGAGTCCAGAGATTTCCTGCCTTTGCTCCCAAAGAGCTTGGATTAAAGACATGAACAATCACATACACCTGTCCTTATTCCTGATTTTAATTGATATTATTTTATTTTCCTCTCCATGTTGTACAATGCTGTCACAGGTTTGATAGAGAAAACCTTAAAATTCCAAGCTGTGTTTCTTCTTGTCTTTTTTAGAGGGATTACATGAGTAAGGGTGGTAAAGATCATGATGGGGATATCTACAGAAACAACTGAACCAAGCTCAAAAGAACTCAGGAAATTTAGACTGACAGTTGTGACCTTCTGCATATGGGTGACAGGTGTGGAGCTGGTTGTGTTTGAGGGGCCCCTGGCAATTTGATCAGGATCTATTCCTGGTGCATGAGCTGTCTTTCTGGATCCCATTACCTATGGTTGGACACCTTGCTCTTGCTTGATAAAGTGGGGAGGGACTTGCTCCTGCCTCAACATAATGTATCATGCTTAACTGTCCTACCATGGGAGAACTTACCCTGTTGGAGGAGGCGATGAAGGGTCAGGGAAGAAGGTGAGTGGGGAGTGGGAGGAGGGAAGAAAGGGGGATCTGTGGTTGGTATGTAAAATGAATAAAAAATAATTTTAAAAAGACCACCTCATTTTATATACATAGACTTAATACAACTTTGCACCCAGGTAATACACAAGATGGAGCCTGTCATGCTAGAGCAGTATTTCTTGAGCCATGTGTCTGAGAACATTGTCACTGCATGGTCTCTGTCAATAAACAAGAAGAGCTGTGTTATCCTTAGGCCTAGAGCTGGGAATCTACATCCTGACACTCTAGAGGAGTCTGTTCAACAACACTCGGTGAAGGTTCAGAGACATCTACCTGGGTTCATCCTGCCAATGACTAAACGTATTATATCCCCAGTACACTTTACATGGGAAATGCTCAAACAATGAAGACAGCCAGTGTGACATCAAATAGTGACAAGGGTGCAAATCTCATCCTACAGGTGCTAATACTGAATAAAAATGTAATTTCAGTCAGATATGGTGAGGCACACCTTTAAATCCCATCACTTGGGAGGCATAAGCAGTCAGAGCTCTGTGAGTTCAAGGAAAACCTGCTGAGAACATACCAGATTGATCAGAAGGGAGGAATGGGACACAAGTGTACAGACCCAGGGAGTATCAAACATATTGTTTGCTGGACAGAAGTTCTTGTTGACGGGACCAGCATAATACTCTGAGTTCTGAGTTGATCTACCCATGATTGGAGCAGGGAGTCTTGATGATAAGCAAAAGCCCACAAAGGACAGAGAGCCCTGGTACAGAAGACCCAATTGGCTCCATACCCCAACTTCAGCCTGCGTTCCTACCTCATCTGGGAGACAGTCAAATGATGCTGCAGCTTTATTGCCAGGTGTTTTTGCTCTGTAACCAGCTCCCTCTGCTTCAGCAAGCTCTGGAGTCTCTCTTCCATTCTTTGCTGCTCCTGTTCATTACAAGATTGTGTCCTTATTGGAGGGTTGAGTATAGTATAGTCAATACATTCTCACACATGTGCAAGCACACACACAGAATCTCAAGCGCTTATTGGTCAGTCAATCTCACGAAATTTCAAGCTCATGGGCACATGAGAAAGCCTGCTTGAAGTTCATAAGACAGAGACTGACAAAGTGAGAAACCCAGTGATCTCCTCTAGCTGTCATCCACATGAAATATGCACTGCACTCCCACATGCCTCTATTACACACACACACACACACACACACACACACACACACACACACACACACCACAGAGAGACAGAGAAAGGGGTGAAAACGAAAACAACAAAGTGATAGAGGAGCAGTTATCTTTAAAATAAGCACACCAGCCTTTAAGCAAAGTCCCAAAACTCAGCTTTCCATTCCTGGGAACTAAAATGGCCTACGAGGGCATACTCTTGAACTAGTGGAGATTGTTAGAGAAACTTTTACTCTTGAACTCAATTCTGTGTGTAGCAATCCTCCCATCATAATGACATGTAGCTGTGTGATGAGTGATTGACCTGTTTCTCCCCATTGACTACAGGTTCAAGAAGAGTATCAGGGATTGCATGCCAATGACCAAGATTCTCAGAGGAGACTCACTTCTCAGAAATACTAATGCACAAACACAGGATGAACAATTTTATGTCATGAAGTGGGTGGATGGATGGGTGTATGGATGAGGAAAGTGATGAGATAAAGCACAGGTGTCTGGATGGGTAGACTGGGTAAGTTTACATAAGTAAATGGTGCTGGACCTAACTGTGACCCAGCTCCCTGTCCCTACCTGCTGTTGCTGGTTGTGGAGGTCACTGATCTCTTCTTGATCCTTCCTGAGCACTTGCAAGTCACCCAAGTGGTGCTTCAGCACAACCCAATCCTCCAGTAGGTTCTCCTTCTCTTGCTTCAGCATATCCAATTTCTTTTTGAGCTGACTCTGCTCCATCAGGAGCCGGCTCTGCAGATCACTGGAAACACACTCCAAATGGTAAGACCAGGTCAGCCACCTCTGGTCACCCACAACACCATGCCTCAACATCCCAACCCTATCCCAGGTTCACAGGAAGATGTAAACAAGAACCTTCAACAGTAATGACAGTGGCACTCAAGGTCAAAAGCAGAGAACAGTTATTTCCTGCAAGAATCAAACTATTTCTGAACCCCCCCCAAAATAACAGAAATTCATGCACTTCCATAAACAAGAGGAGTATTCCACCTGTCCTAATCAGTCCACTGTCATGAGGAAACACCAGTAGGTAATGTGCAAGTACACCTGGGGAAGTAGGAGACCCAAAGGGTGCATAGATCCCGTTTCAGTCAGCTCCTGCCTGACAACCCTCTCCTGAGGACAATTGCTCATCTAACCAGTGGTTCTCAGTATGTGGGTTGTGCACCCTTTGGGATCTAAGGAGCCTTTCATAAGGGACACATATTAGATGGCCTATGTAGACATTTACATTAAAATTATTAACAGTAGCAAAATAAACTTAAGACAATGCTACAAAATAATTTTATGGTTTGGGGTTATAAAAACAATGAAGCAGCCGGGCGGTGGTGGCGCACGCCTTTAATCCCAGCACTCGGGAGGCAGAGCCAGGTGGATCTCTGTGAGTTCGAGGCCAGCCTGGGCTACCAAGTGAGTTCCAGGAAAGGCACAAAGCTACACAGAGAAACCCTGTCTCGAAAAACCAAAAAAAAAAAAAAAAACAAAAACAAAAAAACAAAAAAAAAAAAAAAACAATGAAGCAATGTATTAAAGTGTCACAGCATTAGGAAGGTTAATAACCACTGAACTGGAGGCTACTGAATGAAAATATGGTGCTTGGAAGAGCTAATACTCTCTTTAAATCTTAGCAAAACTGAGTAAAGGGGCATAAGTCCAAAGGCTGCTTGCCAATGCTGCTGGCTAAGAAGCAGAAAAACTAGAAGCACATCTGCAGACCCTGCAGTCCAGAGACAAAGAAAACTGGAGTTGGCTATTGTACAACAGTTGGGGTCCCTGCCAAGATAAGCACTTACAAAAGGAAGACTTTATCTTTGGTCAGCTCACTGAGCTTCTGTGAGGCCTCCAAATTCTCATTCTCAAACTTCTGCAGGTCTGACATGACCTGCTGGTGTTCCATTTTGAGCTTTTCCCAGAAAGGATTTGGCCTGTGGTAGGGCCTGGACCCAGAAGCAAAGAATTCCATGAATACAGGCCTCAAGGATCACATGAATTCAGTGTGTGTTATAATACTGGAATTAATAAGATGCCACATCCTGGCTCCTATGTACTGGGACCTCTGGCTGCTTAATACACTTGCTCTTCTGGTCCCAGGCCAGCAGAGTCAGGGTGTTAAGAGGGATGCAGATGGGACTGAATATGCTCCCTCAGGAGTCCTGCACAGCTTGCTATGGAGTTCCCACGAGATGGAGGAGAGGGAGAAAGAGAAAGAGAGAGAGAGAGAGAGAGAGAGAGAGAGAGAGAGAGAGAGAGAGAGAGAGAGAGAGAGAAATTGAGAGAGGGAAAGGGGATAAAATGCTCTCATTGAGATGACAAATTCATGCATGCAATTGTGTCATCTTAGAGAGGACCAAGAGCAGCAGACTTCAGTACCAGGCCTTGCTGCCACATATTAAGATGTGTTACAAAAACTCTCCAGCTGCTACTTGAAGCATCCAGCACACAATGTCTTCCCAGAAAAGTAAAAAAAAAAATAACAGCATTCTCACACTAGCCACCACTTGACAGGATCTCTCCAAATGCATGCTGGGAATTCACACACTACTGCTTCAATTCCTGAGTTATGTGATTCAGGCCACAGGCTCTGATTTTCATTTGGAGGAAGCAGAACAGTCTATGTCCCCATCTCACTCCTGCCCATGTGTCAGGTTTTGCTTCAGGGAAGCATTTAGAGAAATGGTGTTGGGCAAAGGGACACCCAACCTCCCAGAAGCCGGTTTCTTAGACAAAATAAACTAAGGGTTTAATTGTGGAACTGAGACAGTCACCATGGAGTTTGAAACAGTAAATACCTGTTGTCCAAGGATCCTTCAGTTACTAAGATGAGGCGATCTCTCAGATCATTGCGTTGGGCGGTCATCACCTGGAGCTGAGTGGTCAGGCTCTTCACCTTCTGCTTCACTTGCTTCTTTGTGAGGCTGGTTGGAGTGGGTGGTGGCTCCTTGGAGGTCCCTGTGGGTAGATGAATGAACACAAGTGAACGTGCATTGTGACAAGACATGAACAGGTCACCCTGAGACCTGAGAAGGTGTTTGAGAAAGGATGTAAGCAAGCAATTCAGTGACACCCTAAAGAATTTTGCCCTGGACTGAGATGCCCCCGCTGGGCATCTTAGGTCTCCCATCTCTGTGACAGGAGATAGGTGTCTCAGCCAGCTGATTTTCTCTGCTCCTTTAGCACATGTTTTGGGTAACTAAGGAGAGAGCCTCCTCAGGCTTATTAACAGCTCTGGACTCTGCATTCAACTTGGCTGCAGGGTTCACTAATCTGTGGCTTTCAAATGCAAGATAAAATTGACACAGTCCACAAGCACTCAGGTCATTAAAGATGCAAAAATATCCTGACAGGTCACTCTAAGCACTTGGCAAAAATGGAGAAGCCACACAGACCGAATATGTTCACCATCCTCACCAAGACGCCTCAGTGACAAAGGAGGGTGCATAGAGCTGGTTGGCTGTAAATAAATGAAGACACTGAGGTTGAAGTATATTGATGACCTGCTTTGCTGGGCACAGTTCACTTGAACCTCCTACCCTAATGCTGGCCTTTTTGTCCCCTCTCAACCCCAACCCTCCTGTAGGATTGACAGGCAAGAGCTCCCAGCACAACAGCTTTGGCCTTACTTGCTCCTGATTTCTGGGACAGACAAATTACTCTTCTGGAATCCTTGAATTTCAGGAGCCATGACAAGCAGGGAAGTCTAGTTGGTTCCCAGAGACTCCTACCTCCTGTGTTCCATTACTGGAAGATTCAGCTCAAGCCCACGTCTTGCAGGAACATCCCAATTTCCTGCCCACAACTTACTGTACCATCTTCTGGACCATTTCTTTCTTGACGGTTCACATTGGAATGGCTGAAGGCCAGCTTGTGTCTGCCTCTCTCTGGTTTCTCTTCCCTCTCCTCTCTCTCGACCCAATAAGGTCCTGAGTCTTCCCAACATGTTCATGGCTGAACTGTAAGGGCACTGAACCAACTGTCCAAAGGCAGTTGGTGTTGCTACAACACAGGTGACATCAGATAACATTCTAAAGTCTCCAGGATACAATAGAATGTCCAGGCATGAGACACCGCTGATGTCATGGGGAACTGACATTGCCTCCCTGCTAACCAGATCTCCTCATAACTCTTCACAAGTCAGGTTTCCAATTCTAGGAGTCTCTCCTGGGGCTCAAGAGAAATGCTTCAGTACCCTTTTGATCCATAGCCAGAGATTCCTCTCTGATTCTTTGGAAATGCTCAGTACTTCCATATGGGAAAGAAAGTGAGTGTTCATCTCCTATTAAAGTATATGTCCAGAAGGTAACAGTATTATAGACATTGATGTGAAGTATGATTCTCCACAAGTACCTGCATCTCCTTATTATCAAGAAATGATAGACTTAATGATAATGGAAAGGACACTTTTTAAACAACTTCCCGGTATGGAGCCTACAGAAATTACTGCCAGTAGATAATATGCAGCTTATTTGATTTAAATTGATGACCATGGCAGATGGCATTAGCATGTTACATGGGATCAATAGATAATCACTACCCAGTACATCAGCTTTTAAGAGTTTCTGAAAATGCTCAATGGGTATGACCCAAAATTACATCATAAATTCTGTAGAGTTTGCTCTTAGTAATTTTACAGATTGTTCTTCAAAAAGACAAGGACCACATATTTTATACACAAATTCTTCACACTCCTCAAAATGGTTAGTACCTTCCCCTGACTGTACAGCTCAACAGTCAAAACTTACTATATTCCATTAGTTTTTATTAGACATTGCTCTGTAATAAGTTACTTTTAACTCACTTTATGTATATATTTCCACATGAAGGATAGAGTTATACTAAAAATGGAACCTGGCCAACACTGATAGAAAAGAATTGTTACAAAAGTATTTTAAATTTTAAAAAAATGTAATGAAGAGATGAAAATCTCTAAGCTCTATCTACTTTGTACTCTAACACATTTTATCTCTAAATTTCTTTGTCTCCTAATCTCAAAAAATAATAACTTATGATGTAATTTCTTTAACTTTGGATGTGTAAATTCCTGGGACTTGGTTAAAATTTATGAAATGCATAACAAAAATTAGCTGAAAACTTGTAACAAAAGGTTATCACTTTTAAAATCTATATATAGGCAGCATGTATAAAAGTTATTATTCCTTAATACTCAACTTCATATGGAAAAACAAAAAACCCAGGATAGCCAAAGGAATCCTGTACAATAACACAACTTCTGGAGGCATCACGATCCCTGACTTCAAGCTCTACTATAGAGCTACAGTAATAAAAACAGCTTGGTACTGGCATAAAAACCGACATGTGGACCAATGGAATCGAATTGAAGACCCTGACATTAATCCGCACACCTATGAACATATAATTTTTGACAAAGAAGCCAAAAGTGCACAATGGAAAAAAGAAAGCATCTTCAACAAATGGTGCTGGCAAAACTGGATATCAACATGTAGAAGGCTGCAAATAGATCCATATCTATCACCGTGCACAAAACTTAAGTCCAAGTGGATCAAGGACCTCAACATAAATCCAGCTACTCTGAACCTGCTAGAAGAGAAAGTAGGAAGTAGTCTTGAACGCATTGGCATAGGAGACTACTTCCTAAATAGAACACCAGTAGCACAGACTCTGAGAGAAACAATCAATCAATGGGACCTCTTGAAACTGAGAAGCTTTTGTAGAGCAAAGGATACGGTCAACAAGGCAAAGCGACAGCCTACAGAATGGGAAAAGATTTTCACCTACCCCACATCTGACAGAGGACTGATATCCAGAATATATAAGGAATTCAAGAAATTAGACATCAAAATGCCCAACAGTCCAATTAAGAAATGGGCTATAGAACTAAACAGAGAATTCTCAACAGAGGAAACTCAAATGGCCGAAAGACATTTAAGGAATTGCTCAACATCCCTAATCATCAGGGAAATGCAAATCAAAACAACTCTGAGATACCACCTTACGCCTGTCAGAATGGCTAAGATCAAAAACACTGAAGACACCTTATGCTGGAGAGGATGTGGAGCTAGGGGAACTCTCCTCCACTGCTGGTGGGAATGCAAGCTTGTACAACCACTTTGGAAATCAATATGGCGCTTTCTTAGAAAATTGGGAATCAATCTCCCCCAAGATCCAGCTATACCACTCTTGGGCATATACTCAAGAAATGCTCAACCACACCATAAGAGCACTTGTTCAGCTATGTTCATATCAGCATTGTTTGTAATAGCCAGAACATGGAAACAACCCAGATGCCCTTCAACTGAAGAATGGATAAACAAAATGTGGTACATATACACAATGGAATACTACTCAGCAGAGAAAAACAATGGCATCATGAGGTTTGCAGACAAATGGATGGATCTAGAAAAAATCATCCTGAGTGAGGTAACCCAGACTCAGAAAGACAAACATGGTATGTACTCACTCATAGCAGGATACTAGACATGAAACAAGGATGACTTGTCTGCTACTCACATCACCAGGGAGGCTACCTGGAAAACAGGACCCCAAGAAAGACACAGGGATCGCCCAATGACAGAGAAATGGAATGAGATCTACATGAACAGCCTGGACATGAGTGGGGGTAATGAAAGGCGAGGGTTGAGGGAAAGAGAGCTTGGGGGAGCGGGAGATCCCAGCTGGATCAACAACAGAGAGGGAAAACAAGGAATAGGAGACCATGGTCAATGAAGACCACATGAGAATAGGAAGAAGCAAAGTGCTAGAGAGGCCCACAGAAATCCACAAAGATACCCACACAACAGACTGCTGGCAATGGTCGAGAGACAGCCCGATCTTACCTACTCTGGTGATGGGATGGCCAAACACCCTAATTGTTGAGCTAGAAACCTCATCCAACTACTGAGGGATCTGGATGCAGAGATCCATGACTAGGCCCCGGGTGGATCTCTGGGAGTCCAATTAGCGAGAATGAGGAGGGTTTATATGAGCGAGAATTGTTGAGACCAAGGTTGGATAAAGCACAGGGACAAATAGCCAAATGAATGGAAACACATGAACTATGAACCAATGGCTGAGGGGTCCCTACTGGATCAGGCCCTCCGAATGGGTGAGACAGTTGATTGGCTTGATCTGTTTGGGAGGCATCCAGTCTGTGGGACCGGGTCCTGTGCTCATAGCATGAGTTGGCTGTTTGAAACCTGGGGCCTATGCAGGATTGTTTGGCTCGGCCTGGGAGGAGGGGACTAGATCTACCTGGACTGAGTCTACCAGGTTGACCTCAGTCTGTGGGGAAGGCTTTGCCCTGGAGGAGATGGGAATGGGGAGGGGGGTTGGGGGGAAGGTGAGGGGAACGGGATGGGGGAGAACAATGGAATCTGTGGCTGATATGTAGAACTGAATTGTATTGCAAAATAAATTAAAATAAATTAAAAAAAAGTTATTATTCCTACTGTCCCCTTTGGTTATTATTGTATCTCCTTTGTAGACTAAATAGGCAATCACTGCTCCTCAAAATATTTTGGAGAAAGGTGGAATTTAATATCATGAGATATCCCTAAGGAAATATAGGTCTACTCAGGATAGAAGAACCTGACTCAAAAGATGTATGTCTAACCACTTATGTATTTGCAAACTGTTCAACACCAGAATTCTGGAAAATTTAAATAAGAATCAAATATGTGATTGATAAATTTGGTATATTTGATAAATTAGGCTCTTAAATACCTAAGGTCTATTTAGGCGAGCAGAATGCACTTGAAAATAATATATCTAGTCTCTTTGTCTTTCCAAACTTTGTTAATCTTTAGCTCTTTGCATAAACTGAGTCATACAAACTGTGAAATTCTATAATGGTACACCCTGAATGAGTAAAAAATAAAATAAAGTTCAATTTTGTGGACTGTATTTATTTAAGTTTTATATTGGAGGCTAAAGGATCTTAAGTTAAATCTTCAATCCAAATTTTTAAAACTCAAACTCAACGGGGATAAAATTGTAAAATCCTAATCATAAACAAAAGCTTCCTTGTAAACTTAACCACAGTTAGGTCATACAAGTTAATGATAATCACCTCGTAAATAATAAAATTCTTTAAAGTGTTCTAAAACTATGCTTGTAGTCATACTAATTACAAATCTATTTCATTTTACAGGGAAAAGCTTCAGTTAGAATGCTGTTCATATTTTCAAGGTTAGGCCAAAAGCAATGATTAAAAATGAATGAAGTTTGTTTACACAGACCGTTTACCTTGCTGACAGACTTTAGGTTGAAAGAAATAAACCCTCATAGTGTGTTTCAGTGGAACTTCTCACTATTCCTTTATTTCAGGGAACTTGCTATGCAATCAGGTAAATAAAAAAAATAAATTCAATTCTATTAAAACAGGGCAGTAATAGTGAACTGCTCGATCATTTGTCACAGAGAACATAGAACAAAGAGCTTGCTCAGGAGAAAAGCTTGAAGCAGCCTTGACTCACATTGCTGGCAGGAGGCTTAACCAAAGGCTTGGTGCCATGAGTTGTCTGTTACTGTTACTATAGGAGCTTTCCCTGCTTATGCCTGGTCCAGTAATGCACGCATCCAATGTGCACAGTG